GCTTCAGAAAGAGTTGTTCTTTTTAATTTGTCTCCAAATTAATTTATTAGCATCTAAACTTCCTGTGTTAGCTATTGCCTGTGGTATTCTGCCATTTTAGGGAAAACTGTGTTAGAATGCAAGAACCTTCATCCTGAAACATACAGACATCTTAGTGGTAACAAGTTAAAAACGTATGACAAATGTTTGTCCCAGTTGATTAGCAGACTAAAAATTAGAAGAGTTTTAGCACTGTGTAGGAACAACACTAATTCCTTTCAAGGCTCTGCCACTTATCATTTCTGTAACCTTTGAAAAGTCACTTACCCTATCTGACCAGATTTCCTCATCTATAAAATGGTGGTAATATTTCCTACCTCCTAGGATAGTTGTAAAGATTAAAAGAGTAAAACATGTTATGTACTGACTACAGTGCTTGTCATAGTGTTTATTATCATTATTATTATATTTTAAGACCTGTGTTAGTAATTCACAATAATTTCCAGATTTCTTTCAAAATTGATTGTGCTATTTTGAGAGGAAGAATATGTCCATGATCCCTTTATTTAACTCTGAGATTATTACTAAATGAGGTGAAAGGACTGTCTTCTAATTTTTCTGTTGCCAAAGGTGATAAGGATAGGCTGCCCCCTTAAATTTGAGACCTAAACTTTAGTTCCTCTTAGAGGACTTGTTCTATTCTAGCTTTTGCCTATTTTTCTCTTATTCAAAGTCACTGGGTGGGTTGTTGTTTTATTTTAGTCTTCTCAGATAGTCTAAAGATCTGTATAGTCACTCATGTGGTAGATAATACTGTTTTAAATAATTCAGCTTATCTCAAAAATAGGTGCTTAGACTTTCTCTATATATAACACTTGACTTTAAAATACTCATAGTTGTCACTCAGCTGTATAGTTAATGTTATGGACATTAAGCTTGTCATGCCCAGTTTGCCCCTTATGAAGGGTAGGAAGTAAAATATTGGAAGGCAGTATGTTGAATTTCTAGGTCAATCTTCATTCCGGTCTACTAGTATTTCACCCACCCTGGTAAAATATATAATGAGTGCCATATTCTGCTTATGTATAAGTTCCCTAGAACATCAGATCCATTTACAAATAATTGCAAATCCGTAGTTAACAGCAATCTAATCCTTGACTAGGACTCCAGCCCCCTTCAATGACTTCCTAAGCAAAATGCTTCTTTTAAAATAGTAGCTAACAAGTCAAATTGTACAAATCAGAATTTCTGTGACACTGCGAATCTAGCCCTAGTGCGTATTCTCTGTTAAAACCAAGCTGGTAGCCAAGCCAGTTACAACGAAATTATATTTATTATGTATAGTTTAATTTAAAACATTATGTTTCCAAATTAACTGCAAGTATATCTTTGAAATGCATATGCCATATGTAGATGAAAACTAGATTAAATTGTCTTATTTCTGATATTAAAAATGCTAGGAAATGACGATTAACATGCTTATCAACGCTCACAGAATGTCAGTTAAATCCCTTCACATTCCTCAGTTAATGCTGAGTCTTGTTGGAATTCAAACCAAATGCATTTGTTAGGAATCTCTCTGAACACTAAGAAATAAAAATGAGACATTCAAAATAGAAAATTTCTTTATAGTTAGCTAACTTAGATGGTTTGGAGTTGTTGCACCCCTTAATCACTTTTAAAAGCTGTACTTCTCATGTACTAGCTGTCCTGATCAGGGAACTTTTTAAGCTGTCTTTCTCTGGTGATGAAGCCTCCCTAGGATCCTCACTCCAGCTAGAAAGCTTCTATTTCTTGTTAGTTAAACAAGTTGAAGTTAAAATTACTCATATTTATTTAGGACACCTTGATATCTTTACCTCTTATTTAGTTGACCATTAGGATGTTGTAAAGAGTGATGGGCCCAAGGGATTTGTTATGAGTGTTGAAGGTTATTTTCACTGTGGACTGCCACACTTACAGCTCCCCTGTCAGAAAAATGGGAGAGCTCAATCTCCACAACTGGTTTGCTTTTCTCCATCTTTCTTCTGTGACAACCATTAGAATGGGTTGTTTGTTGCTGGCTTGTAGTAGTAATTTAAGTGTGTTCTGACCAGAGTACTCATGGATTATCCACAGCAGTTGGGGAAGTTCTTTTTGTCCTTTGACAAAACCTATACTAAAATAAAGTAGAAATAAGAAATTATTTAAGCAATACCAGTCAAGATATTTAAATACTTTCATGGTTATAGAAAATTATGTTTATTATCATCTAATTTCCCCCCTCTGAAACTTTTAGGCTGTGAAAATCTAATGCTATAGTTAAGAGATTTGTTTTCCCATGTCTTTTTTAAAAAGTCACTCTGGTGTTTTAGGTGGTTTTCTACCACATAGCCCTTGTCCCTTGAAGGGCTTATTTTTGGTGTAGTTGTGGAGGTTGATTATTTTGTTTGTTTTTGTTTTAGAGAAATAGTTCCAACACTTGGAAATATTATCACCCATGTTATTATTTTGAAAATAACAAGTGACTACAGAAATGCCAAATTCCTGCCTTATATAATATTCTCTAGATAATTGTCTTTCCTGCATAGCCAAAAAAGCGTAAAATGAGCCCCCTCCTAATATGTGTTACAGTAAATTCAACCCATATTGAGAGACTTCTTAGTGGAAGGGTGGAAAAATGGACTGTCAGGTAACCACTTCTCTTCTAAACAGAATCATTGACTCTTGTTCACTGTTAATCATTTCTGCCACCTGTCCCACTTAGCTTGCTTAGTTTCTCTCTTTCGGGATGGCCTCGCACTGAACGTTTTTTCATTGACAGTCAAGATTAGAGCCACACATCCAGAAGTGGTGATAGGCAATTCTCATGATTCAGACCAGGAGGGCTTTATCCTGGAGTACAGAGTATTCTGCTAAATCAGATAATCACACAGGAAAAAATGTTCTTAACTAACTACCAACTGGTAAGTAAGTTTTCCCTGACTCTCCCTCCTAACATTAAGGCATTGTTCATCTAAATTCAGTGATGATATCTGAACGGTTTACAGAATTCTGTCTTCCAAAATTTCCAAACAGGCTAATCCATAAAAATTTCCCAGGAATCCCAATTTGGGCTTTGTAAAGATCTTTCATGTTTCCTAATCTCTTTTACTTACATTCATCCAAGGTACAAAGATTAATTGCATGAGGTTCCCTCCATTTTTATTTTGTAATTCTATACTTCTGGCCCTTCCCCTCCCAAAAGGCTACTTCACATATCCAGCAAAATGTTGTAAGATGTCTACCCTCCTCCACCCAAGACAGAGTCGATCATCTTTGACACCTGCTTAGTCTCCTGAGTCTGCTACTGAGTGTAATTCCCCTTATTGGCAACATCACTCACCAGGTCAGCTCTACAGATTCTTTTGAGCCTAATTCAGTCCATTTTTTTTCCAATAAATGTGTATATCAAGATAACTACATCACTATATGTTTGCAGCTTAATATGCTTCTATTTAAAAAACATTCTTGAGCAACCAAAGGTAATTTTTTTTAGTTGTGAGAGATTGGTCTCAATCTGGTTATTTATTATCAGCATAAAACTTAAATGTCTTAAGCTCACATGATAGATTGTCTGCTTGAAGTATCAATTTTAGAAATGGGGGCTCTATTCTGCTCTGGGATTTGAACCCCCTTGCTGTTGTTGCTATCAGTTTTCTTAGACTGACTTTTTTTTTAAGTTTACCTTCTTAATAGATAAATTATTTACTTTGTTTAAAAACTAACATTATAAAAAAGGTGTGCAGTGAATAGTCTTCTCATCCTCATCTCCAGCTGTCCAGTTCCCACAGGTACCCGCTGTTCTTAGTTTGTAATGTATCTTTCCAGAAATTTGTTATGTAATTATTGGCAAAAATTAAAATGTAATATTATTTTTCTTCTTCTTTTATGCAAAAAGTTCATATACACATTCTGCAGCATTTTTCTTCACCCAATATAACTTTGATCTTTTTCCATGTCACCACTAGAGAGCTACCCCACTCTTTTTTTTAAAAGCTACCCAATAGTTCACTGTATGGAAGTACCATAATTTCTATAACTACTCCCTCATTGAGAGATATTTTTAAAGTTTTGCAACTATTAATAATGCTGTAATAAATAACCTTGTACAGACATTTTGTGCAAGCATATCTGTAGGATAAATCAGTAAAATTAAAAGGCATTTGGATCCAGTAATCTGAGAATGACAATCTCAAGATTATAAAAAGTGCTAGTTTACAGAGGGAAAGGAACACCAGTTTTTGCTTTGCTCCTCAGTCTTCAGAATATGCCCATATTCTTTTTACAGGCTTTCAGGCTTCTAATTTCTACTGCCCTGTTTTTGTACCAGGTTTGTCTCTTCTTGACTGTAAGATCATTTTCAGCAACCTCAAAGCTAATTCTTGGCTGCTTTCAGTATCTTCTTTCTAGACGTCTTAGAGTAGTTGACCTAATAAGTATAAGAATTTGATTGAGAATTGGGTGAATTTTTTTTTTCACACCCATATCATGGAAGGCATTAAATGAATATATCTAAAGGGCAGTAAGTTTTGCCAAGGTATCAGAGATTTATGTTACTTCAGTAAAAGCTCACCATTTCTTCCATTTGATACTACAAAGCACTTATTTCAAGATCTCATATTATATCGCAGTACAATGCAATCCTCTGCTTGACATTCAAAATTTAATACACGCACACTTTTTTTCTTTTCTTTTCTTTTTTTTTTTTTTGGTGAGAAAGGTTAAGCTGTAGTTTCAGCCCAACTTCAATGAGTCAGAAATTATCTTTAGAAAGGAGGGGTTTTTATTGCTCTGTGAAATTCATCAAATGAAATTAAAACACTCTGGATTTTATTTGATTTTGCTCATAACAAATTTTTGACACCTCCTTCTCCCCCTTCCTCAATATTTGAGATTTTTTTCTATTGTGCATGATAGAGGAATGCTGCTAAGCTTGCAAGTTATTAACTTGAAATTGTTTTGAGTAATTCTGCTTTTTTGGATTTTTTGTACCTAATCAGAATTGATGTGACTGAAGTGCAAATCTTCATAATAATCATGCATTTGCTGGCAGTGATTGGAGGACCACCTTTTTGGCAATCTATGGTAACTCTGCACATTGTGTATCCCATGTAATGCATGTTGTCTTTTGCTTGTGTTTTTCTAATATAGTATAATCCAGTTAAAGGATGATATGTAAAATTATTTTATTCTTTCTGAAAACAAAAAGTCACAGCAATGATAGGACACAAACTTCTCTTTAGGGCATAGTGAATTTTACTACTTGGAGTTATGTTGTACAGTAGGTCCATTTCAGGGTTATTTTTGAAGGCTATCAGAATTATTATTTGTCGTCCTATTTTACAGCTGAGGAAACAGCAGGTAGTGTATCAAGTTAACCAATGACAAGATTAAACCAAATCTTTTATTCTCTTTCTGAGCTACATGAGTCTACTAATTTCTCCATTATATGCTTAAAGCTGAATAACAAATTTTGGTAGTAAATTAACTCTGGCCCCAGAACAGAATAAGTGCTTATTGAAATCAGTGCCTTAGGATTGTTTTCACAAACCAGGACCTTGATTTTCAACTTGACTTGAAATATAGTCACCCCTACAAACAAAAGTTCTTTTCCACAAACTTCTGAAAGAGCAAATATAATATATATAATACAGGGGCCAAGAACACAGTCTCAGGAACCAGACTGCCTGAGTTTGATCCTGGCTCCACTGCCTACTGTATGAACTTGATCTGTTATTCAACTCTTGTGGCTTAGTTTTCTTCTCTGTAAAATGAAGACAATAATAGTACCTGTCTTATAAGGTTATTTTGTGTATTAAATGAATATGTGTAAAGCACTCAGACCAGTGCCTATCAGATAATGAGCCCTCAATAGAAGTTGCTGCTCTTACAGTGGGCATGTTTGCTACTCCTAAACAAACACAGTTCATAAAAATCAGGTTAGTTTTAAAGTATAAGGGAAATTTACTGAGCAAGATTTTTCCCTTACCTAACTCACTTTATGATGGTAAATTAGATACTTAAGGAAGTGTAATTAACATGCTTCCCTAAGTATCTATTACCAGAAATTGTTTAATGCCTTTTGTTGGGAGTATAGAGTTGTGAGGAGGGAGAAGATGAAGGAATAAAGAAAATCCATAGTCAACCAGGAAAATTCTGAAACTGTTCATTCATGTACATAATATCATTCAAAATCACATCTTTTTTTACACATTAGTCTCAAAAGTCAATACTGTCTCTAGTGACATCTGAGGTCTATAGATACATACACACTGTATACATATAGATTTATATCTATAGATCTTGGATTTCACTAGAATGTTATTACTTCTGCTCTTGTGTAGGTTAAATAGTTAACAGTTATAAATAGCTATAAAACTGTTAAATAGTTAACACTTTTAAACAATTTGGCTGTAGAAGAAGGAAAGAAAAGATTTTCTTTTCCTGAAACTAGGTAATAAAGCCTAAAGCCTACCTCCCACTTAATTTTTTTAAAATTTCTTCACTATATTGATTATTATTTTCATAGGCTTTGTGTTTTATACCAAGATCTCTCCCCCTCCAAAATTATTTTGCATATCTTACACACATATAAATTACCTTTAATGTTTCAGCATATTAGTAACAAAAAAAATGGGATTTCTGGCTTAATCATCCAAAATCAAGTCAGCATCAGGTATATATCCCTAATTATCTGTATCAGTATGGAGGTACAGAAAGCATTGTTTTCAGTGCAGTTATGTATTCACGCAGGCTATATGCACATCCATAATTTTTAGGTGGTGCCTGATAGTAAATTTGCTTCAGGTAAACTTGTCACCTTTCTTTACTAGAATTTATATGCACAATCTATACATGTACATAACAGATGGAATTTTTATTTCTTTTAAAAGGATCAAATATTTTGTCCTATCTTTATTGGCAATTAAGATAATATAATCATTCTTTTTTACTATATGTTTTAAAAAATTTGTCTGAGGAACTCTCAG